AGTGGCCAGTGTTTAGTTTGCAACCCAGTCTGAATGAGAGTGGCCAGTGTTTAGTTTGCAACCCAGTCTGAGTGCTAGTGGACAGTGTTTAGTTTCAACCCAGTCTGAGTGCTAGTGAACAGTGTTTAGTTTGCAACCCAGTCTGAGTGAGAGTGGCCAGTGTTTAGTTTGCAACCCAGTCTGAATGAGAGTGGCCAGTGTTTAGTTTGCAACCCAGTCTGAATGAGACTGGCCAGTGTTTAGTTTGCAACCCAGTCCGAGTGAGAGTGACCAGTGTGTTTAGCTTACAACCCAGTCTGAGTGCTAGTGGACAGTGTTTAGTTTGCAACCAAGTCTGAATGAGAGTGGCCAGTGTTTAGTTTGCAACCAAGTCTGAGTAAGAGTGGCCAGTGTTTAGTTTGCAACCCAGTCTTAGTGAGGGTGGCCAGTATTTAGTCTGAAACCCAGTCCGAGTGAGAGAGGTTAGTGTTTAGCTTCAATCCCAGTCTGAGTGCTAGTGGACAGTGTTTAGTTGGCAACCCAGTCTGAGTAAGAGTGGCCAGTGTGTTTAGTTTGCAACCCAGTCTGAGTGAGAGTTGCCTGTTTTTAGCTTGCAATGTAGATAGTGGTTGTAGTCACATTTAATATTTGGCAATGTACATCAACTCAGACCAAATTGCAGCTTTAATGTAATTTACAATTAATACAATTACCTGATATATCAAATACAAATTTTAAATATGCGATTTTAAAATAAATAAATAATTGATATCAATAATTATACATACATGTATGGTATATCTTTTCTTTCAAATATTATTGTTATGTTTTTGTATTCAGTAATATTGAGCAGCTAGGAGGTAAAGAATTAGTAATGACATACATGACCCATGATGACCCCAATGTTCGTTATGAAGCATTATTAGCTGTACAGAAACTTATGGTACATAATTGGTAAGTCAAAGCATCCCAACCAGACATTGTCGTTAACTGTCAGTTGATTGGTCAGTTTGTACATTGACTATCATTGCTGCATTCTCTGAATGAATTGTCAGGAGAATCAATATATTTGAGCATTTGTGTTTTGTTTTTTTGTATAACAACTACCATTACTGGGTAGTAATTAGTAATTTTGCTTTTACTGAATTGGTTTGGTAACTACAATTTATTTATATTTCTGGTATTCAGTGTTGTTTAATAGATTAGGAGAGAGAGAGATTTGCAGCCATTATTCAATGCATTATCCATAAATTACTGACAACTATTATTTTCATGAAAGCCAATTTTTATTCAATTTCACCAGGCTTAGAAGATCACAAAGTTTTGTAGCAGTGACAATGTCACTGGTTTCACATATGGCCAGCTTCTGTACACCCACTTTAATTTTGTGAAAATCACATTTTTACAAAATCGAAAATTCAAATGAGTCAGTGAATATTGTGGAAATTTGTAGCAGAGAAAATTACTTTTGGGTTGTGTGTCACAAACTGTCTAAAACATTTGTGAAATGTTATTCTCTTGAATGCCATAATATTTTTAGCAGTGAAAAGTAAATATTAATATGTGTTGATATGAACATAATATATAGCTATTTTTATTTTATTTTGTAGGGAATATTTAGGAAAACAACTTGAGGCACAGTCCTAGTATTACAGCCAATCCTGTCAAGTGCTACTCTGTTTAGTGAGAAGAAAAATTCAAACGTCATTTTGAATTTTTTGAATTTTCCAATGTGAGTGTGATCTGTGATACTGTCTCTTGTTGACAGTCTTATACTTCAAGTTTAAATAAGAATTCTGATCACACCTTGTAAATAGTTTAATTTTTGAGCAATTTAAGTTAATTCCGCATATACATGTATGTATGTATACAACTACATCTAAATGAAAAAACATGTTATCCAAAATTTTTTTGACTTTTGAAACGGCTGTTATAACTGCACATGTCCTTGCATGATGTTTTTACCCATACATGCCATTATGATGTTTGTTCAAATACAATATGGTGGAAAACGATGTCCAAGACTCGTATCATTTTCTCACAGCAGAAATATTTTCAACATTTTTTTGTGTGCATTGTTCAGTGAAATCTCCATTGCCAACAAATTTTGAATACAATTTGGAGAAATAGAGATTCTGGTGTATTTTGTGAAAAGTCACTTGATTTGAAATGAATTGTTATTCAGATGTTACCGGCCAAGAAGCAGCTAACATTCTTCTTAGGTTGGACTTGCCATGTGCAGTTATAACCATAGTTGATGAGAGTTCCATTCCTTGTGTATGCTAAGCCAGCTCTCCAGTTTAATTTGATGTCACAGTTTCTGAATAAGGTACAATACCATTAACTATGTACTATTGTTTGTGAACAGTTCTGCTGTGGTAAAATTCTTATTATAATTTACGTTCATATCTGAATGTTACCTATACCTCAATCTAATTTTGTATTGTTGACATGAAGGGTTATACATACATGTGATGAGAATTGTTATAGTAAACTTTTCTTTTCTTTTATTTGCCAGTCCAAAAATTAGATTTTATGTATTTTTACTTGGTAGGTAGCAAGTTGTGATATATAAATTCTGTATTCGCTTTCTTAGTAGCGCATACACTTAAATAAATGACAGTTAAGTTAAGTTTATTGTTAAAAAAATAAGTCGTAGGATAATAATATTATGATGTGTGCTTTTATTAGAGGTGCACTTCTGATAGAGCAAACACATTATGTTGTTTACAGAGACATTTCTGTAATCTGTTGTACCCTGGATATGTGTTGTAAGTTACTATTAAGAAATATTATACTTGTGAAATATCATTTTCTGTAACATGAATGTAAATAAATCATAAAACATGAATGTAATAGTATACGCGCAAGTAATTCCTTATAATAACATTCAGTAGAGTCTGGGCAGTTGTCACCTGCGCATGCATCAGATAGCCATAGCATGTCATTGTTTACAAACAAGCATCTACCCATGAGCCTTTGGTTTTTTAGCGTGTGTTGTTATAGTGGCTTGGGACTCAATTGCTGCACATACGCAGGTGACAACCCTCTCGCTTTAAATCTTCTGGCCCAGTTGTTACCTAATAATACATAACTTTGTGTATTCAAAATGCAAGTTACCAGCCCAGCCCAGCCCAGGTCATGAGAGTTAAAAAAAAACAGCAGAGTGACTGTCTTGCTGAATCACAATTTTCATAATAGTTTACTTTATTTGCACAATCTCCAAACTTAATGTGATCTACCGGGTATATAAAAATTTGTCTGGAAAGTTATTTTTCAAAGTAATACTTTATTAACAGGCCTAGATTTTGAGATTGTTCAACAGAAATCAAATAGTTGTTCTGTTACTTATGTCACAAACAGAATTGCCAATCTACATTTTCCCCAGTGATTCAGATGATCACTGACATCAGTAATTTGCTAGTATGTTTTTCAAAATGTCCTGAATATTTTTTAATCATTTCAGACCAAGAAAATGTTAAATTTACTGTTTTACACCCAAAATATTGCAAATACTTAAAAATGTCCAAAAATGTCATATCTCCTGGCTCTACTCACGATGTTTATCAATCATGCGTATATGGCGCCCCCTACGGTGATATGTTGTAGTATTTGCTTACTGGGAAATGATGTATGGTGCAGTTCTAATTTCATTGGATATATTCAACTTAATAAATATTCATAAGTATGTATATTTGTTTGCTAAAGTTTAACATAACATTTGGCATAATAGTTTAATCAATATTAAGATAGATCGCAAACAACGTAACGCCCTGTCAACACGGCCCGGCATGGTTATATAGTATTGATCAAGTATCATCAAATTTGACTTCTAAACTTTAGGCCAAAACTATCCCATAAATGGATATATTCAATAGTTTCATGAGTGTTATTATGTGGGCGATGATTGTCTCGCCTGATCGACATGGGTAAAACAAGGATGGTAGGCGTAATTGCTTGAGTTAGTATAATACAGAGGATGACAAATAATACATGAATATTTCCTTCTTGTTTAAAATAAGTTATTAGTAACACTGGAAATAAAGTACTACAGTATTACACACTTTGCTGTGGTGACATGTTTTTTTCCCAAACTGCGCTTTGCTCTTTCGAATGTGTAACGCTTTGTCCACTCTTCATAATACCAATAATATGTTAATTAATTTAAGCAACATTTGTATAGCTAGGCTTCATAATGAGAGAAAACTTCATTAGACCAGCAATTGTTCATCCAATACTCTTGCCATTGTAGTAGCGTGCTCTTCTTCACATTATAGTGCAAGTTTGCCGTTTATAAAACACATCATGTTAAATTATTTAAAAATAGAATCAACTAATATGGGCTGCTCAATAATGGGTGTAAAATCCAGAGATTCCAATAATGGCTACTATACGGCCACTTTTTATGATTTATATTTAAACTTAGTACGATTACGGGCGAAATAATCTTAACGGCGATAAAAAAAAAACGATATGTCGTTGCGATACTGTAGGTAATGATACGTTGTTAGCAACCAACTACCGGGTAACTCCGATTTCGAACCATGTTTATCCCGCCAAGTAAGCAAATAACACCGAATAAACGGCAAGGTAAATACTACGTCTAATTATAGTAAATACTAGTACGTACTGCGTGCGTGACTCGAACCGGCGCTCGCGTACGGCACCTAATCGCAAAGAAAGGAACAAGATTTTAATTATGTTCATGGCAAATTTGGTTTACTTCAAAATCTCATAAAGATTATTCTAAACCTGCTCAAAAAAACATAAATTTCATTTTTCTAAAATAAGGAGAATTTGGTTATTAGGTGTTCGACCGTTCTCTACGAATGTCGTAAATAATGCATTTATTTATTTATATATATAGCGTTTTTTATGGATTTAAGCATATAATTATTATATGTAAACAATTCTGAGATTTCTCATTATTAATAAATAATATTTCAAATCAATTATATAGAAATCATGAGTTAACATGATTTTTTAATTATAAATATTATATTTATAAATTATAAATAATTCGTACTAATGTGAATGTACTAGTTAAAGGCCATGGTTTCCACGGGTAACTAGCTATTAGTAAAATAATAATATGCGTAATAAATACACACACACAAACTGAATAATGCGCCATTATATCTGTATTCTATATCTTCACCAATTTGACACGTATAGAATAGATAGAAAAAGCTGTAAGTTGTCAGTATTTAACGTCGTCGCCACCGACGAACAACGTTTACGCGCGCTTCCACTTCACGATTGCGTGCGCGTCTGTGTTCCGATATAAAGGACTATAAAATAGACAGGCGTATTTCTACAGTACTGTTTTTTATTTATGACTTCAATGTTACTAATAACTTATTTTAACCAAGAAGGAAAATATTCATGTATTATTTCCAGTATCGTACTAATCCAAGCTCCTTTGCCTACCTCCCCTTTAGCGAAACACAGCGCGCACGCGATTGTGAGGTGACTCTTTGTCGGTGGTGGCGCTGTTATATATTACGTAACTTTCTCAAACTGATCCAACAATTTCGCCTGATGCTCTTGGCTTAAAGTACATTGTTCGTTTACACGAAGCTCAAACACGCGCTGCGCAACGACCACTGCCCTTTAATAAAATTATTGATATCTTGATAATAATACAGCAGTTAAGCACACCGTTCGCGAACATTTCCTGTGCATCCGTACTATCGGGAAGAGAGCACTGTCTAAGATGTACAGATACATAAGCGGTGACTATTTTGGGGCTAAAATGTCTGAAATGGGGACTACAATCTCAGCATCAGTTACTGAAATTATGAACATAAAGATAAAAATTGTTATTTCTGATAAAGTATGGTTCACTGCAAGTAATTCGTCACCAATATAAAAAAAAACATATTCTAAATGTTGGCCGTCTTGAAGAGGTATGAAGACGCTAGTGGTACATTCTATCATTTTTCAAAATAGGTACCCCCCCCCCCCGAGATAAATAAATAAGTCCGTTTACATAATTATAATTTTGTAAATTAACCAACTATAATAATAGAAACTTACTTATGATGCATCGTGATTTAACGTAAGATAAAAACTCTGAAGTACACAAATTCAGTGCTTGACGTCATTGATGCGTCAGTGGAAATGATGCTAGTAAATATGTAATGAATACCACTTCTTCTAATCATCACATCTGTCATATGATTTCAGCATCGATCGCAATTACACTGGTCTCGTTCAATGCGAGATTTAAATAGAAGAGAACACATTATTGGGTTGGTCTTACTGAATATTTGCCACGGCATTTTAATCTGGGATCTGTGTCATCGTGATACCTAGTATTACAGCGTGCTTTCCCGAGCTCTTTCACATTGTATATACATACACATATAATTTTTATACCGATGTCATCATCTCATTATCAGTCATTGAAATCAAGGGACAGATACGTGATGTCTCCGTCACACGAGGGGTGTGGTCACATACAACTTACACGGCCGTTACATTCTGTAATTATAGCAGAAATGTGTTCGAACAATTCCAAAATAAATCATATGGTACTAATTTACCGTAAACATCGTAAACGATGGGCTATTACTTCGTGTACGGTATAATCTAGACCGTCCTTGAACCCAGAATATGTTGACATTAAAAAATTGAATATTTCAAAGTTGGATTTGTAGCGTGTAGTAAAATTTCAAAGGTTGTTTCGACGAATATTTTTATTTTCAATTTTCTTCATACTTTCCCTCCCATGGGGTGATATTGCACGATAACTGCCGTATTTTCGTCGATTTGGTCTAAATAACATACATTTTACGTCAACTCAATATTTTGAATTTATTAGTTATTTTAAAGATCTTTGACATTGATGTTGCTTGCTGATGTCGCAAACCCTATCCCACTCCGAGTCTGTCGATGCTCCCCTAATTCTGTTCATATTATCTTATAATACTAATTGTGAAGACTAATAACATAATAGGATTTTATTCTATATTTTTATGCGTGTAACTGTAATATTATAATTTATATCATTACATTGTTAGCTAAATACATATATAGCAATAAGATAAAAGATAAAGTTATAGTTTTAATCTAAACAATGGCCTTTATAAAATCAAAGTCTCGGGTTCATCTGAGAACCAGTCTTGTACTATATTTGTTTTGCAAACATGTTTATTTGAATTATAACTACTAATTACGTCAAGTCCCTAACCTTGTAATCGGAAATTTATTCCTCAATTGTATTCCATTTTTATACTACATACTCTCTGAACTGGGCGAGTCTTGGTAGATACAAAGTCGCATTCGCGTTGATTCTGATAATTGCATATAGCCAATTAGTCAACACAATCGTATTAATTGAGACATGATGCAATTATTGGCAAATCATATCGTTCTAATTTGTATTATTAATACACATGCGTCGTGAATAATGGGACACACGCTACCGCCAATAAGCAATATTGGGTGTATTTAGACACTATTCAGACGTGATCGCGTCGCATGTATCGCTGATAGTGATAGATGTATAATTCCTAAAGTGTTGCCACTGTCAGTGTTACCGGGGATTTGTGCAGCTCGTTCCAACGACAGACGGGCCAACATGTTTTCTACTGACATAGGCATAAATTGTTTGTATAGTGTGTCTTTTGATGGAAATCGCTAATTTACCTGTATTTGAATCATTAGAGTTTTGTTTATTTCTATCGTGGGTCTTTCATTTGTCACAGTGTCACAATAAATCCATTGATTGTGTGTATTGCTAATTTTCGACTACGTAGAAAGCAAGTCATGGCTTTGTTGTCGTGTGATTGACAGGTCGTCAGTTAAAGGCATACAGGTAACGTTGGTGTTTCTATTGTTCTTTTGACCAATCGGGTTTTGAAAATGCAAATGAGGCGCAGCGATGCATTCTTGAATTTGAATGGCAATTCAGTAATTGCAACACATGGGGTCCGTCCACTGTCCTGAGCTAATCGATTGAATTGCACGTCTCCCTCCCTCCCTTCTTTCACCGTAGACCTGGGTGATCTTGTGAAAGTCTCGTAAACGCAGTGGCTTAACCGTACAGAATGATGGCACATTATGAAGTGTCGCAACATCACCAATTTGCAGCATCTATGGGCAATCAGCCACATGCATCCAACAGACAAAACAGAATGAATGTACTTCACGTCAGCGGAGAAGAACCCACAGATGCCGGGTTTTCCATAAACAACTTGTTGCCCGCGTATAGAAACGACGCTAGCAACGATAACAGTAACCGGACAGACTCCAGTACAGCTACAACTACGATACGTAACGACGATGATGAAGAAACTGAAATCAGCATCACTTCGAGACATTCCCAGTCTTCGAGATCGCCGCCAGTAGCATCTACTCTAATGGCGCCAAATGCAGGTAATTACATATTAGGAAAAGGAGGACCAGCGAACATTGGCTTAGCTAACCTACCATCGTCTTCACCTACAAGTTACTCAAACCAGCTAGCTAATTTTGAGCGAAGTTACGGCAGTAGCCAGTGTTATCAATCCTCGACTTCAAACTCAATGGCAAACTCGTACAACAAGGCATGCGTGTATCTTTGTAACAGAGATCTCTGGTTGAAATTCCACCAACACAACACGGAAATGATTATAACGAAGCAAGGACGGTATGTGTATCTCGTTATCTATTTCACGATCAGCAGTTGAAAAAAAGTGAAAATGTAGTTTGAATACGTGTACATCATTTATCCTAAAACTATTTTGAAAAACAAATATGCATTTGTTTAATCATTTTAATGCGACACGTTCTCTAGTCTGCTAGCTTGATTTTTTTTTTAAACTGGGCTTTTTCTAAAATTCTTTGTTTTACAATTAACACCTGCGTCGCTTCCAGAAAGCCTCGTTCATTGGCGCGAGTTGTTGCAATGTTGCGTAGCTATGAATTTCTCTCACTAGTACTAGCGACGAACTATGAAAATTCACTTCAATTGCATTATTATCGCACAATTTACCATCACCGAACTGGAAACTAGTTTACCCATCATTAATGCTGTTAATTATATTCTACAATAGAGGGCTTTCCCGACCACTTATTTGTGTATCTTTGTCACAGCTGGCAAAGTTTCCCCTCCCACTTCCTCTCGACTTCAACGACATAGTGCAATAACCTATCGCTACGAGTTACATCTAGTTAGTGGCACCATATGTTTCACTCACTTTGTCTGTCTGTATGACAGTATGTATTACTCTGGTAGACATTTTTTTATAAATCACAACAAGCAATGAACTATTTTCGTCCATTAAAAGTTTTTGCTGAATTGCCTATTTCAAATTCTCTGTATTTTTATCAAATAAGAAGCACTATTTTTTGTCGAATATCCCCCCCCCCAAATATGGCATTGAAACCATAAAACTTTAAAAAGTCGGCATCTTTATTTTTCATGTTTAGATTTCCAGAAATTGACTGAAAATGTTGCCAGAAGCATAGCATGTTGATTCGCAAACAAAGTTAAGGTGTCAAAATTAAAATCGTATGATTTCCCACAAATGCTATATAATGTGCGATCGCTTTTACCCTAGTTTTTCATCTCAAATTAATTTACAAGTTTTTGTAGTTTTCTCAATCATCGTCCAACTGAATCAATTACATTTACATATTCTCAGAATCTGTTACTACCTGCACCAGTCTCGCGATAGCTCCCCCACTCCTCATCGTACCCACATCTCATCAATTGAATGGGGGTTCAACCGCTGTGCCTATTAGTGTGAAATAGTTGGTATAATAGTGTACCATCCAGTGTTTTGAAAATGTCCGTTATTTTTAAAGATGATGGTACACATAAAAATATTTTCACTCTCAAAATATTTCCCACCCAATTTACATTTTGCTATGCCATGTTTTACACATCACATATTATGTAATATATTCACTAAAGTAACTCAGGCTCTTCATGGGAAGATTTTTAAGATAGGACCGAATATTCTTTTTTACCCTCCTCACAAAATGTACTTTCTTTGGGAGCTTGTATGAATTTCTATAGTGTCAATTGAATTTTTTTTTTTGAATTTTTTTGGCTTAATTATTTTAAATCAATGAGAAGAAACTCAAACTTTCTCTCTTCAGCTCTTCGCTACATGTAAATGCAATTAACACACTCTATACACTTTGACGAGTTCAATCGCTGTAAAGTTAAACAATATAACAATTACCCTGACCGCTTCCCCGCATCGTTGAGTGACAATGACTGGACACTGCATTTACATCACGTCATGGTGCTTTTCCTCCAAATACAAGGTGGTCTAATTTGAATCATACAGAAGCTGCAAGATGGTAATGTCAAATTGTCCGACTGGAATGGGGTGGCGATCAGTGTGTACAATAAATTTCATTGAAAATAAAGTAGTTTACGGTATACCAGTTTTGTGATTTTGAAATGTGTTCAAATAGTGCCGAGATGCGCAAATAAGTCGTTTGCGTGAGAGAAGGAAAGACAGACAGAGGGAGGGAGGGAGGGAGGGAGGGCGTGAGTTAGTACAGATTTGACAACATTCAGAGGTACAATTGATATATATATATATATATGTACGAGTAGCCACGTATATCACGTGACATCTACTATGACAATATTGTGCTAATGATTTGACGCATTTGTGAAGGAGCACTCGACTTGTGTTGAAAGGTTACAATATTAAATTCACACTAATCACCTATACATACTAACACGTCGTCATGGTAACATATCGTGACTTTTTCGTTCATTGACTCGCAAATGACAAGTTTATGGTAATTAATAAGAAATGTTATTTCCCGGACTCGGTTGGGATTATGATTCAGAACACAGTGATACAACGCCAGGGTTTGTCTGTGTAAATTGTAATTGTTTCTTACACTACTATGAATGCGAGTACAATGTAAATATCAGCCAATAAAATAACTCATCTTTTCGTTAATAATATTCGAATGCATTAGTATCTGGAACTCTGTGTACGCAATCTACAATTACTGAAATATAAGAGCATTTTAAAAAGTTTCAAATTAATATAGAGTTTGCCTTTTTTGATTGCGTCCAGATGATTAAAAAGTATTACTATTCTATTGTCTCCATCTTCGCAACGTCGTTGCCAGTATTTTATTGTAGGGACGTTTGTTTCTACAGTAACCCACAATCAATGTTACCATCCATAAATAGACTTGCGTAAACGTATGCAACACTCTTGTTTCCATTCACTTTTCTAAGTAGGAAACATTGCCACCAACTTTGCTTCCCAACTGCGCCTTTGTCTAAACGTTCAATAAAAAAACTTGAATTTCACAATTCTCTTGGGTGACAACAAAAGCCCCAATTAAATATCCCTCACATTAAACGTAATGATGATATAAACTGATTGCACAATGTCTTTGATCACCCTCATTAAAATAGCTTGTATTTTATTGATAAAATATGTTTAGGTACTGAATCAGTACATTTCCGTGCGCCCATTGTAATCCGTCCACTTGACTCGTTGTCGCCAGCAGAGAAGTAATCCAATATAGTAGAAACGGATATCGGTCCACTTGTAGACTAATTACTTCATCGTTAATGTAGCCGTTCATTGTCTGCCTTAACCCCGGAGAGCATTCGTAATCCAGATTTCAAGTCTGCCAGTTTCTCACCTTTATTATCATTGCACTTGATTGCAATACATGTATTACGATATCATCAACCTTATATATATATATATATTAAAATGGGTGTTAATGGGATATATAGTATTGAAAGCCCGTGCGCGTATAAACTGTCCAACTTTAAATCTTGTTTCATGAATTTCATTGGAAACTATAGCGTCCACGACTATACCTTACTGCGAGTGATTGTCTAATGGGTCAATTCATTAGCGCCAAGTGTTCATCGCATGGTGGTTGCTAATGTGACTTTTGTAATACGTTAAGTACATACACGTGTATGGACGTTGTTTAAACTCAATAAAGTGCCGTATTGTACTCAAGTATCAAAAAGTAACTTATCACGGTGCGTTATGCGAGACATTGTAAAGTTGTTCGCATTTGTAATCGCTAAAACAAATCATCGATTTCTTACCGAATCAATTACCACAGTTGAGGTCATAGCTATTAATTAATGCATATTTTTTTTGTAATGCTGATCTATATCTACATCATTACACCCTCGTTCGGGAGAACTGTATTTGAAATGGCAATACAACAATTTATCGTGTATATTGTTCCATCTTGCTGAATATTGCATATTTCAAACTAATACATTTTGTACACAAGTTTCCAGCTAAACATATATTAGATAGAGAGAATAATTACCCCTAATTTCGTACTAGTATATGCTCACATGATTTATTTCTTGCACTTCTCAGTTTTCCGAAAAGGTGTCGAAATGCTTGTTTGTATGATAATGTAACCAGGGCGGCAATGATTTACATACACCACACTCAGAACATGTACTCTGATATTGCTGACAGTCAGCTGTATGGGCTTTCACGTTAAACGCTTCTTCACGTATTCATGGGGAGAGGACGAACGATTCTGTAATCGGACTTGTTACACGGCTACTTTATTTTCATTTGTTTTTATTCTTTGAAATTTTCAGGCGCATGTTTCCAACTTTGAGTTTTCGTTTCACTGGACTGGACCAAACAGCTCATTACAATGTGTTTGTAGACATGGTTCTATCCGATCCAAACCACTGGAAATTTCAGAGTGGTAAATGGGTGCCTTGTGGTCAAGCCGAACACGTACATCCTGGTAGGTTACATAGAATTTATTCTAAATTCGTGATACTCAACAATTGTATTTATTTTTCCTCTGGTCGACCGCTAGTTTACGCTTAATATCGTGCGCAGTCGATGATTGGTTATTTGAATAGCCTGTGAAAAACATGGCGTTAAATATAGTATTGGTGTTCCTCACTCACAGGTTCCAATATTTACATCCACCCTGACTCTCCTAATACTGGTTCCCACTGGATGAAACAAGAAGTGGTATTTGGTAAATTGAAACTAACCAACAACAAAGGAAAAGAACATGGTCATGTAAGTTGAACACTACATGAATGAATTACTATTTCATTAATATGCAAGAACTGTTTTGCTTCCAGTTTTATTTGGGTTATTTCTCGAACATTAATTAAGTTAATATCCTCAGACTTACTACTAAAAAAACAAATGAATACATTTGATTGGCAAAAATTCAATAGTTTTTTTGGTCTTGTCTTTAGATTGTGTTGAACTCAATGCACAAATACCAACCCAGAATCCACGTGATCGAAGTGAGCCCTAACAGACCTCCAGACCAGAGAACTTTACAAACACACAGCTTTCCTGAAACTCAGTTCTTCGCCGTCACTGCCTACCAGAACACAGACGTAAGTATACGTGTATAGATCATTAAATGCACAGATGATCGAAATCCCAGTTTACATTCATTCAAAATAATTTATTTTAATGTTTCATACTTGAAATGATTGATGAAACAAAAATGTGAAACTTAAAAAAAAATCATATTTCTTTTTGTTTGATGCATTACTGTGCCCAATGCCTCTTTGTGTTAATTATGCACCATGGACGAGAAAATGTAATTTTTAATATTGTTTGGTGAATGCATTGAACTACGACTTATTGTGACCTTAATATGCTGTACTCGTAATACACCTGAATAATCGTTCACTGAAACAATGTAATTCTCATTGCGCACATGTACACGTTTCGGTATAATAACAATTACTGCGCGTGCGTACAAGTGATTAATTCATCTGACGAATACTATTCCAAATTTATGATAAATCGCAGCCCGATTTGGAGTATCGAAAAACAATCTAAAAATAGTTTCGTCCATTGCATCTTTAACACACGTCCAATGTTGTAGAAAAACACCGGCTTGTGACACATTTTACAAAGAAACCCAGTCTACCCGAAAATGCAGAATATCACGCGCTAACATTGCATACGAGTTCACGCTTTTTCGGTCGTTATTAGATTCACACGAATGTTTATTTCTTTTAGATAACACAATTGAAGATCGACCATAACCCATTTGCTAAAGGATTCCGGGACAACTATGATTGGTGAGTTTAGACATGTTTCTCCTGTTAAATAATTGGGGGTAATAATTGGAGTTAGTTGTACATGTATATTTGGATTTCACGTTTGGCGAGATATTATTATTACACATCACTATACAGATACTCTATTCTATCACGTGACCTTTCATTAATGACGAGAATGCGTTTGTTTTCTGTGAAAGTTAAATCAGCCCACTTGATATTATGAAATTTATATTATCGCCGCTTCTAGAAATATTGAGTCGATTTCACTATCGATGACATACAACTTGCGATGTGTGTACTCTGTAACAACCATCATATTTTTCTTTGATATATATTTCTACTCGAGATATAGAGCCCACGTTTGCCTTTAGTCTCGCCCTTGTTATCCATATTTGGCAGTTATTGGTGACTTTATCGCAAATGGCCCATATTGTTTAAGAGGGTCGAGTGGGGGGGGGTACAATTTCACGAAGTCTAGTAAAAGCATACCCTTTCTTGTGATGCAGCGATCATATATGTATAACACGTGTCTGGTGTGTGTAAAGTTACTGACTCGAAAACTTGTTCTTTCTAGTTTCAACAGGAGCATGGAGCGCTTTACGCCCTCGCCGACAGCTTTAGGGTCACGAAGCAATCCCACTGGTCCGTACCCAGTCGGCCCGGCTCTCCCGATAGGGTCTTCATTCAACTCGATACACAACGACCAAGCAACTGCTAAAGAACAAATCCAGCAACAATTCGACAACGATGATTCCAAAGACAAGATAACTGGAGAATTGGATCCAATTAAGTTTGAGAACTTTCCTCCAAACACCATTACTCCTCATAATTACGACATGAGTCAAATACAGCAACAAATGAGACTGGGGTATGCAGCAGGAGCGCCACCTCGTGGTAGGATCGGTGGAAACCAACTTCTATTGGCCACAACTCAACCTTATGCATGCACCGCTTCAACTGTTCCAACGTACACAACCTCCTCAGCCAATCACTATTCAGCTGGTTCATCGCCAAACACTACTGAACACGACGCATGGGTCAACACGCCCCCCTCTAACGTGTCCAGCGATTCGGAAGTTTTTGAGCCACAGAATAAACGACAAAAAATTTCACCAATTAATTCTGCAAATTCGTCGCCAATATTAGAGAATTCACCACGAGATGAAAAAGAAACAAGCGAACCTATGAAAGAGAAGAAACCTAATTTAGACCAGTATCCCAGTGCGCGTACACATGGCAACTTTTACAGCTACCCACATACCTATTACGGTGCGGATGGTTATCCTCATTTTGCCGAATATCCCAGCATTCCCGGTGCAGAAGTGCATTATGGGAATTATCCTCAAATATCAAATTATAACGGTGGATACTGAAGCAATAGTGTCACAGAAAAGTTGTCCATTTATTTATTATTTAATGCCAAGTTGTATTTACATAAGGGCGGGTCTAGGGCTTTATTTAGAAATGACAGTATCGAATGCGGGTAAGACGTATATTTAATACAAAAAGTGCAAATTTAATGTCGTGATTAAAAGAAATATTATTCTTAATAGTAAGTAGAAACCTTTTAAGTGCTGGCTATACCAATCATAGTGTGTTGTTGTTTTTTGTGACACGAATATATAAATGTGTGTTTTGGATTGCAAATGTTTTATAATGTATAAAATTGTATTGTGTTTTCAATTAAATAAACATATTTTTGTTTTAAGATCTTTGACCAATAGTTGATTTTATATACGACTCGCATAACGTTTTAACCTCGAGGGCGCTATACATCCCGATTCCTTTTTGCTGCAGTCTCGGACCATTGAAAGAACATTATTTTAGTGGTTTGAGGAGTTTAGGCTGAACATGCAGGTTCCTGGGGCCTGGTTAAAACTGATTCTCTGACAACTTTGTAGCAATTCAGGCAATATTTATCAAGGGTAGACTGTTCAGTGAAATGCACAACTGTTTTTATTCATAAAAGTAGCGTCCACGTCTGACTCGGACTTCTTTGCGAAGTAAAGTTCGAGATGTTCACGAATGTGCAAATAGTTTCCAAATACAGACCCTTGTCGTAGTATGTTGCATAAAAAAATATCACGGTGAGCGAGAATTCATTAAAAAGATAAACAATTTATTGTTACCTTGAAAGTTATTTAATGCTCGCTATGCTAAAAGTTACCATTGGTATTGTCTCGAGACCATTAAATCTAAGTTGCCTGTTATCATGAAACTTATTCAAAAAATACAGTTATATACAGTGCGTTATTACATGCCTTCATTCGCCCGCCAATCAAACTCGCTTTAGAATAAGAACATCAGGATTTTTGCGGTCCAGTGAGCCATGTACTGACCGTTGTCAATAGCAACAGAGAGGTCCAATGATCAAAAAAATTCCCGGAACTACTCTATCATTTAGACCTGTGGAGTACTTCTTATTGCAAAGATGGGGCTCCAAACTACAATTCACGTTGGCGAGGGAAGCTGGCTCGTATTCGTCTCCGTCCTTTATGCTGATTTGCCCAGAAGCTCAATAAACTCGACCGGTGGTATGTCTTCGAGGCGCCGATCGGTACAGCGACGGACATCACGTTCGGTGGTTTTATTGGTACTTTGCGTCTGGTACTTCATTTTCTGGTGCTGGTCCAAGAAGTTCATACAGTTGGCCCTGTCCTATCGACCGCAACCACTGCATAATATCCATTTCGTCTGCTGCAGCCAATATCGTCTGCAGGTTGCCAAGGGAGTCGGTTAACAGGATGCGTAAACGTATCCATCCGCAGTGCCAAACTGATCGATTAACGCGATTGCATGAAAAACTTACTGCTTATGAAAAAAAGTACCTTTTTACCAATAAGAATTACCTTTAAACATTAAGATATAAACCCTATATTTTTTATATTATTAAAGGCATGTAATACAAATATTATAGCCCGAATATGGGAGTTAGTGCCCTCGCGCAGGGAGATCATTTTCCCCTCCTAACGACCATATTCGGGTAGTAATATTTATTATCAGAGTCCCCTGTCCACTGAGCCGGCCCCAAATGCACGCTGCGTTTACATTTCAAATCAAATTGTTTTAAACTAAATCTCGATACCAGAACTATTCACGCCTTCCAACGATAAACATTGCCGAAATAACCTTCGTTGAAGATATTAAAGATGTCTATAATATGTCAATATATGAATCGGGTACTGCACTCTTTGAACAAATTGCCACCGGTCGGCAATTTTGAATTCGATCCAAAATGTATGATGACGTGCATTACAAATGGTGTTTAAAGTATGTTTAAACCAAATCAACCCACACATGAATGAGATAAGGCTCCGGAATGGTGAACATGCGTGATTTTAATGGATTTGTTTGCATAAACATGGCTGTTATCTTGAATATGACCAAGGAACAAATGCCTGTACATAAGTCTTGAACTTAATCGGTTTAAGCATATGTGAAATACGACTGGATACGAACACATGCCCCCCCCCCCCCTCCCCGTGGACTCGCGTAGGCCAGTCGCAAAACTAATATTTAATCGAATGTCCATCGTTGACAGAGGGCGATATACTGGTTGTATTTGAGTAGCGCCTTCTAGTGTCAGGGATAATTTAAATATGAAAAGTTTTTTTTACATTCGTCTGAGCAAATTTCTGAGCATCGTCAAGATTAATTTTTACATAATCCCGTTTCCTTTAAAAAAACAAACAAAATTCTATTACAGAGTTGTGATAGTCTTGAACACACTTTATGGGAGCATATTTGTGACTCTGGACACTAGGTGGCGCTACTCATACACAAGTGTCGTACACTTATTCGGCCATTTCCCAATTACATGTATTTGGGAGTGTGTTTATGTGGTTTGGGTGTAAATTGGGTGTATTTGGAAGTGTGTTTATGTGGTTCGAGTGTAAATTGGGTGTATTTGGAAGTGTGTTTATGTGGTTCGAGTGTAAATTGGGTGTATTTGGAAGTGTGTTTATGTGGTTCGAGTGTAAATTGGGTGTATTTGGAAGTGTGTTTATGTGGTTCGAGTGTAAATTGGGTGTATTTGGAAGTGTGTTTATGTGGTTCGAGTGTAAATTGGGTGTATTTGGAAGTAATGCCTTTATTGAAATCATATCCTGTTCTGGATCTGGATTTGTAAAATACAATAAAGTTTCAAATACATATAGAATGGCAAGACGAAAAATACAAATGAAGACATAGTGAAAACATAATAAAATAAAATAAAATAAAAACGGAGAACAAGAAATGGTTAGAAAAAAACAAAAAACAGAAAAGGTATTTTCATAAGTTATATTAATTATAAAGCAGCTGGTATTTTTTGTTTATGAGTGTCATTTCTTAAATTGAAGCACTCAAAGATATATTTTGCCAAATGAATTAGTGATTGTTTATCTTTTGTTTTTAGAATGTCTACAGTGTTTTCAATATCAGATTTGTCAATTGTTGTAATGACCTTTGTGGTATGGAGAAACTTGTTTCTTAAATCAGCATAAAGAGAACATTTTAATAGAAAATGGCTTTCATCTTCTATTTGTTTTTCCTGACAGCAGTGGCATTTTCTCTCTTCTACTGTTTGGTTGATGTATCTTCCTGCCTCAATCTGCAATGTGTGCGCATTGATCCTTAGCTTAGTTAGAGCAGATCTGTG